TTTTTTGTTGTTCTGCGAATTCCCCATAGTGTGTCATTTTTTCTGTTACAACTGCAGTTAAGTGCAGAGCACTTTTTTCGCGATTGCTGGTTTAACACAAGAGCTTAACAGCAATCCCAGTGTTCTCCATGGGCTGTTTTAGCAGGGCGGACTACCCGGCTAAAATTTGTGCCGCCCCGCCAAAATTTTGCCGCCCTGCTAAAATTTGTGCCGCCCTGCTGTTTTTTGAGTAGTGTATTTTTCCCCCAATGTCTACTTTCTTAAGATAAGATTTTAATCAAAAAGGTATTTACCGCAGTTTGTGGATCAAGTTTGATTTTATAGACGCTTATGATGTACTGACAATGACAAGGAACATCAAGAGTTGAGTGCAGCACGAATCTATACGCGACCTCGCGTTATGTAAGGCATGTGCATTGGTGTCGACTGGTCCCACTCCTCCCGTATAATGCATTTTCAAATGCTTTATGCCCAACCCCATTCCCATGGTGATCGTTGGCTGCCTACCGTTGCATAGTCAACCTAGTGTCCTGAAAAGCCATCGCATATGTTTTGTACATGTACACGTACATAGTATTGCACAAGCGTGTACATGTACATGTACACTAGGCTTGGGTGGTATTGCCTTTTTCAATACCGCGGTATCCATGAAAAAAACACTGCGGTATTCGTTGCAGAAGGCAATGACGTCATCAAAAAGCAGTGGCGATGCTGACATTCAATGACAAACCACAAACAACACTAGGGGCTAGCATAAAGGGTTTTTAACGTCACAGAGCCCCCTGAATTTGATAACTATTATAATTTATCTGTCCATTTGATGTCAAATAAAATTATTTATGTGAAAGAATTTTTTTAAAAAGGGACGGTGTTTTAAATATTGATTTGTTGCTCCGCGATTCCTATATCTGTGTGGTCACTCATACATGTTTTATTCCTCCACGCTCGGACGGTGTCAAAATCTGCACATGTACTACAGTCAAGTTGGTACTCACTGAGGCAGTGCGCTATTGTAATGATTGCGTGCGGGTCACCAGTGGCTGCTCCTCTTACCATTAGCTGCGCCCTAACACTGCACGTGTGCAATGGTAAAGTGGCTTTCAGAAAACTCTGTGACGCGGCAGTCGACTCTTATTACAAAATCGGTTGTAACAAAATTCTGATAACAACAAGCACAAATCTGTGGTCCTGGTGAAAACGCATTACATTTCTATATATTTCGTATATTTCTATGAGGAGAAAATATGTTACAGCGAAATAGCATTGTACAAAATTCCTGGTACAACGAAAGGTTTTCGTGACTCTGTTGCCTGAAAAACAATTGTTGATGACCAATTCATAAAGCGTTTGTGAATCGCAGTGGTAAAAACATGTGCGCGGTGCACCACACTGGTTCCCGCCGGGCCGAACCACTGCCAATGAAGGCAAGACGGAAATGCGGCAACCAGTCAATGTACAGGTTCTGCCAAAAAAGGGTCGTATGTTCCACTACATTGAATACAGCTCTAAAGTTGCAAGTCGAAAAAAACACTGCCGTCACAAATTTTTCTGCAGGTTCATTAACAAAAATTGATCTCATGTCTATGTTTGTGTTTTCTGTGTTCATGAATTTAATTTGAGGTTGTACTGCTTGTACTCAAGCACGCATGCTTCAACAAATTTCCAGTCGCGCAACACAAGGCTTACAACGCGATATACAGACATCGGTTGCCAGATTCCTGTCGTCATGACACGCAATAGTGCTTGATTAAAAATCCATGATATTCTACATTGATTACACAAACGGCAAAACAAAAATTCCCATCCCATTTCCGATAAAATACGCCCCAAATAAGTTTGCATGACTTTCCTCGTATCTCAAGATTCCAACTAATCACCCAACACTGAATTATTCATATTGCTGCAAAAAGATCTAGCGTGCCCACCAAATAAGACTGTGCATTTTCATGACGTACATTTGGCAAGACACAACTATCCAATCACAGTACTCGTTCATGACATCATGCTTCTTCAGCGACCATTTCCCGCGTGGGCGGCCGCGCTGCAGTGGGTGAGTGAACTCGGACTACCAATCAATCGTGTCATGCAGCTTGTGTCAAAAATCAAAACACAGGCGAAAAATTTAACCAAAAATGTCTCTCCGTTACACAATTTAGACGAAAAATTAAACAAAAAATGTCTCTCTGTTACATAATTTGTGTTGGAAAGACTACCGTACATACATGGATGGGGGCTTTAGTTGATGAGCCTTCACATTCTTGCAGGTACATATCCAGGCCTACATGTACATGTGCGTGCAGGTTAGTTACTGTTGGCTTCGTCATCATCCATGGCCATTGAAAGTCTTTTAAAAATCCCTGGATCATTGCTTTCACATGTATTTGCTTTTTAAAATTTCACATGCACATTAAACATGTCCTATGACAGTGAAGTTTATTATTCTAAACACATCACAAGGTATTTGATTAATCATAACCGAGAGATCTTTTTGATCAACCACGTTGTCCTAATTTTATTGTGAGAACAAAAAAAAGATCATTGATTGCCGTGGATATCGAACAGTTGCAGATTTATGGAATCATTTTATAATTTATAACACGCATTCCTGGCTTCGGTTAGATAGATTTTCACACAATACTTGTACATGTTGTATATAAAGGACAAAAAAGAGAGCACAAGGCTAGCACAAGCAGCATTCGCATTTTCTGATCCGCCAATAAAAATCTTTGGAAAATAAAGTCCAGTGCAGACACGGAACACCAGCTGATTTTTAATTCCCAATCTGCATGGCTGTGATACATGTACACATGTGCCAATGAGTAATACAAGAAGCACGGCACTTTTTCGCACATAGAAAGCAAGCAGCATATTGTTCTAAATGTCAGGGTCAATCTCTCCTACCTTTTTATCAAACGAAACTGTTACCTTCAGTTTGTAAATTTTCTCAAGTATATGAAACAGAAAAACAAAATTTTCACTAGGAACATCAGAACAGAAAAGCACTGTAAACCACCATCACACCTGCAACCACTCACAGGAAATGTCCCTGATACTGCACCACCACATAAATGCGGGAAACATGTGCACAAGTGCGTTGGTCGGGTCATGTTAGGACCAGATCAGTGATACGTACGTCACAGGTTAAAAGGCTCTCATGTACAAATATACCTCCATCAATCGAACAATGGCCACACAATTACATGTATATCCACTCACACGTATTTTGAAGTTTCCGGTTCAAAAACCTCCCACCAAAATGCTTCAAATGGCATTGAAAGTAAAAGAAGTCTATATAAGGTTCAGAGTCATCACTGCCAAGTGCATTTCTTTTCTCAAGGGGACCAGTTGTATGCACATAGCATAAACTAACGCTACTTGAAACTGCAATCCTGGCTTTCAACCTAATACTGAAGCTAACCTGATTGCTAACGCGGGCCCAATTGTAGTCCCCTTCAGGCAGTCCAATCGCTGACACTGCAGCGGCCATGTGACCGCAAAAGGAAAGGTCGTGTTACCACAAAAAGGGGAGCCCAAATAAAAAAAAAGACTACATGTATGTGGAGCACTCACGTTGTAAACAAGACTAAGCGGTACAAAACTTTTGCCATACAAAGAAACCACAATAAAGTTGTTTATGTGTATTTTAATATACATGTACCTATATTTAGGATAACTCCATTTCCTGCAGGTTCATGTTGTCGAGATTTTAATGTATAAGAACATGTACATGTACTTCAACAAGTGACATCAGATTGGCCAACTGTATTGTGATCTGTCAACCTTTCCCTTTTTTCGAATGAAACACTTACTGACTTAGGCCTAGATTTGAAATGCTTTTGTGCATACAGAAAACATCCTTCTGGCTTTTTTGTTCAATTCCTCATCCACACTTCCTTCCGCTGAATCACTAAGGAAATTCACATTGTTTTAATTTGAAAGTAATTTTGAAAATGAAGTTTGAATGAAGACTACAGCATATCTCTTGGTATCAAAAACTAAACTGGTTCTCTGACTCCTTGGGTTTATGGAGCACATTCAGTGCTTTGGTTACCAGCCAATAATAAGAGGCCGATCATCTGTAAAATGGAGTGTCAGTACGCCTACTGCTGGTATATTACACAATCTGCTCTCACTTCGTCATCAATCCCGACATGAAGTAATTTTCATTCATATTGTTTAATTTGACAGAAATACTCTTAACTCAAACTGTAAGCACTACCACTTCTGCACGAAGTCATTTAGGCCGACATCTTGGTTTGACCATTTTCATCCTGGCTGCTGCTGTGCCCTGGAAACACCCATTGGGTAGGATGTACGATATGGGCTGTGCTGTGTAGACAGATTGTGGGACTTAAAACCCCCCCTCCCCGCCACTGAAAATGGTAGAACCAAGATACGGAGCAAGCGCGGCCATTGGTTGGCTTGACGCTAGCCCCACAAGTAGGGCTGTAGTGGCTCTCTTTTACAATCTGTCCCTTATCTGTCACCACCACAGCCCTACTTCAAGGCATGTCTTAAATGCATGAAATCCAAACTGCAGGATTGTCACATCTAAACTGCTGCCAAAGTTTTGGGAGATTCGTACATGTAGCATCTTATTGCTCAGTCCGCGTATTACATGTCTTGACATGGAGCAGCCGTCGAAACGATGAGGGGTCAAGTGACGTAATGTTCAATGACCTTATTTTAAAGATGGTGACTGAGAGAGCGAGCCTGTTAGATTGATTAGATAAAGGCAGAAAGACTGGAAAATACCTGAATAACGTGAATGAAATCATTCAATAAATGGTTTTCAGAAAGCGGAAAGGTCAAGGATCATGTCCGCGTGCAAAAGAAATTGCGCCCACAATTATAAGTGGGTGCGCCGAAAATGTTCAGTATGCTGACACGAAATTGCGTATACGGATGTGTGGCTAAGGATGGATTGGGAGTGAGAGTCTGTGCTACACTGGTGGGGCTAGTTAAGCCTAGGCTAGTATGACGAACTACATGTACCTTACCCCTAAATGCTGGTGAGCTTGGACTTCTCTCCGGTGAAGTTCTATCATGCCTATGATCTGGTGACCGTCTGTGTTTGACTTTATGGCTATCGCTGGTAGAAGTGGCCCATGGCTGAGTCGGTGATGACGCCAATGCTGGACTGGAGCGTCGCCCATTGCTACACCGTGTTGGACTGCTCTGTCTTACTTGTAGTGTAACCGGTAACGTTGCCCGCATTGGCTGAGGTCCCGCTCTTGGGGACGCATTTCGTCTCGGCCTCTGTGGTGGCTGTGAGGACATAATGGCGGAAGAACTTCCACCAAAGATATCCTATTGTTCTCACTTACGCCTGTACCTTGCTCGTTTTAAAAAAGATCGGAAAAAGAGAGAGGTGAAATTGGGCTGATTTAAAAGACAGCTGCGGACAATCTCCTGACTTGACACCTTCCGCCATGACCGCCGAGCTCCGTTAGTTTAGTATCGACTAGTAGTCTTCGGTTTCAAACCTGAGTATCGATATACTTCTTCATACCTTGTTCGCAGGTTTCAGACGGATGCCCGAAACTGCTGTTGGAGAACTAAAAAATAAATTGTTCTTTAGGACGAGGTTGATTTTCCCGGCAATTTTCAATTTAATTTAAGTAAAATGCAAAAGAGCCAAACATTACAGTATTCCAATTTAATTTAAACGCTTCAGGCCCACAATCGGGGATTGGTTTCCTACACGAAGCAGGCCTGAGACGGGACGAAGTTGAGTATTGGAAAACGGCCCAAGACTGGTACTTGGATATCGACAGGACGTACGCGGCGCCCGCCAACTTAACTTGCGCACGCGCTATGGTTTCATCTTAGACATAAATTATGAGGCGCCCTTTATGACCTTATTAGTACGAAAAAATCAAACGAAAATAATATATGATGAAAGTGAAATAGATTTAAAACGAAACAAATGTGTGAAGGACGAAACAAAAATACGAAAGCAATCTGAGGACAAAAGTATATTTAAAGGACATCATTGTGATTTAGGTCGGACAAAAACTAATAAATATACGACAAAACTCATATATAAACGACGGGACTAATAAATAGAGTCCCTGTTAGGGCAAAGCAATATTTGTAAGACGAAACGAAAAAAATAAAGTAGACGTGCTTATTGTCCAAGGACAATGCAAGCGACTTTTTTGCGTTTACATATTTCAAAAGATTATTTTTGATTCGTTTACGACTACAATTGGACTTTGATTTGAACGATGCTTCTCTAGTTGGCAACAACATGTAACTATTCTCTTTTGTATATTATCAGCTCATCAGCTCTAAATGTCACTTTATTTTTGTTGTATGATATATTATTGATTATTATAGTCATATGCAAAGTTTCAAACAATGCGACATTTCCTTCAGGAGATATAGGGCTAGAGTGCACCAGTAATATCACATGAATCGTCTCCTGCTGAGGTCATCATCACATCGGATCAGTTTTTGTGTAAAGCCCTCTCCTAAGATGTTTGCAAGGTTTGAACCCAATGATATTTACTTCACGAGATATAGTGCTTTGTAGAGTGCACCTTTAATGTCACGTGACATGATTGTCTGTTGATGTCATCATTGCATGACGTTAATTTTCATCTCTAACACTTCCTTTCCTAAATACTTACCAAGACTCACAACCGGACATGCACTTCAGGAGATATAACGCTTTAAAGGATTCACGTTTAATATCACGTGACTCGCCTACTAATGACATTGTCATCACATGAGGTCTATTTTCGTTTATAAACCTTCCTTTCCTAACTTTCTGCAAGGTTTCTACCCAACTAGACATGTGCAATACAAAATACAATACAAAATATTATTGTTATCATGGAAAGAGCGTTTATTTACTGAATATGATTGTCATTGCGTACGAAACACTGCCGCATTCAGTGGCAACGGACATACTGTCTCCTTTTTAAGGAAAAACAATACAGCGTATTTAAGTTTTGTAATTGGTTTCTCTATTTTAAATAGATTTTCTTCGTTTTTAGCCATCTTTACTGCAACCGGCCCTCGAGGTGATGATAAAAACCCTTTATAGTAAAAGAAATTTTGATGATAAATCAGATAGAAACGCATTCTTTTTACTTGACCGAAAACGAGTAGAAGTTTAAATTGAAACACGTCATAAATAACTTAAAAGGTGACAAAGTTGTTAGAGAAAAAACCTACTGTCTGAGGTTGGGTATTTTAACTAACGCTACACAAATTGAGCGGGACACAAACTTAGAAGGCAGACACGCTGGGGCCCGGAGTGAAGCACGCACAAACTTTATGGAATACCCCTGAAAGTCGTATAAAGGTGTTTTCTCGAGGGGAATGGGCCCGGGTTTGATAGACTTCACCGCCAAAGCTCGTCTCAACTGATACCCCAAAACGAAAGAGGAAGCATCGTGGTGTCGCCCAGCTACTACAGAGTGGACTGGTTTGACTTTTTATAAAACTCGATCCCCGGCGTCTCTTTCAAAGTGCACTCAGCGTCTAATAGAGTGACTTTAGCGATCACGAACCCCAACCTCAAGTTACGGCTAAAAAAAGAAGTGTTTAAACTGTTGAACTAACTCAAAGTCAATTTTTACCCAACGTCATTTACGAAGGCAAGTATGACTTAAACCCAGTGAAACTTGCGTTTTTTCATTGTAGTCAGTTAAACAACAACGCCAACTTCTACTACGGACGGTCTTCAGACGTCTTACACGTGGTAAATACCCTGATGCTCAATACCCGATGTGTCTAGAACCATGGTAGAACGCCTAAAACGCTTGAAGACAGGCACATTAACGAGTTGACTTTTTCTGTCGGAAACGAGCGAGGAGAACTCGGAAACAACAAGCACTGAAAATTTGATTGAATTAGAGGTTTTTATAGTTTTAAGTCTCCTTAAGATACTGTAGCGAAAGTGCGACTTGTCTCAAAAGAATAGTCACTTTAGGGGAGTCCCCAAGTGAGTAATGTCACAGGGAGGGTCATGTGGACAGGGCGTGCAGCGTTGTGATTGGTTGCATACTGTCCAGCAGTGCCGACGAAGGAGTGCACGAGCGCTGTAGACGCGTTATGCATATCAAGGTAAGCAGTCTCTGTACTTATTGAGTGCTAATTGTGTATGGTTGACTCAGGATACCTCCACGTGGTATGTGTGTGTGTGGTTGACTAGGAGACCGCCATAGTTGCTCTTGGGTTGTGTCATATTAACGGTTAGACTTTTAGAGGCTAATCACCAGCTTATCACTAGCGGCAAGTGCATATTCGGCCCAGTAGCGTTCTCCGTTGGTGCATGTGGGTGCGGGGAGTAAGCGAATTTTGGGGGCTCCGCGTTGGAGTGTGGAATAGAGGTTTACTAGTAAGCCACGTTCTTCGTAGGGGCGACCTAGCCTAGTCAACCACACATGTAGTTAGGATAAGTGGTCCGTTCTTCGTTGGTGCGTGGATCGATATCTTTCGCTCGTGAAGTAGAGGCTTCACAGGTGCTTGCGTCAACCAAAAGTTGGTGAGCGTACCGAGGTGAGCGTACAGTGGTGAACTGGGACCAACCGCAGCTATCTTGCGGCTATGTTCTGTGTGGTTGACTAGAGACACCAGCAGCTGTAGTTAAATCACACAGCCACTCAAGTAAACACATGCATTCGACTAGGCTCTACTGCCTGTAGTACATTGTATAAGTATCGTAGTAAAGCATACAGCTAAGCGGTCAGCCTTTTGCGTAAGTCAACCACACATTGGGAAATAGTCAACATTGCTCTTGTACTAGTCAACCATGCGGCAGGTTTAATAAATCATCCAAGGGTTCCACTTGAGTCCACATTCATTGTCATTTTAGTGCCTTGGTTGTTTGTACAATTAACCAGAACTGCCTTGTGTTTCGAAACTATGTGTCCAGTCGCATTCTTTTTGGTGCCTTATTTAGCAGGTTCAGCAATCAATTCATTCGGCGGTACATTTCTATCCAAACGGGCCTGTATCCCTTTGCCTTGAGGCTGCGTTAATTGTTGGTCTCTTGTCCGGGGAAGAAGCGAGGTTCGGAAGATCTCGCCACAAATGGTGTTAGGAGTGGGTTTGGAATTGATTGAGAAATCTAAGAACCACTAATAAGTAGAGATTCACAGAGTAGTTGGCATTGTTTAGGTTGGTTTTTGTTGGACTCCGTAATCATGAGTCAGCAGCGGGGGGCAGTTGCCTCACCAGCTGGTAATAAGGTACAGGCACTCGGAGAAGAATCGGGTCGCCTGAGAATGGAGCATCAGCTGCTGCAGCTTGATAAGTCTGCAAAAGAGGCTGAATTAGAGAGGTTTTGGTGCAGGGTTGACCCTGAGTTTTGAGTCCCGAGTGATATGAGTCATTTATTATGAGGGCGAAGGTGCCCAGTTTGGACATGTCGCCAGAGCTAGTTTGTAAGGGTAAGTTGGAAGTTGACAGCTAAAGAAAGCACACCCTTCCGGAGACCCACACTCGACGCTTCAGTAGAGCTGAAAACCCCACTGACTAGGAAGTCTAGTATGGCAGACGAAGAAAATTTGTGTGTTGGTACGGTACAGTCACCACCAACGAATCCTTTTGTAGAAAGACAAGAGGTTCTGACCCCGGAGAAGTTGCAGGCAAAGCTAATGAGCATTGCTACCCGAATAGGTAGTAGTGAGCAACTGGGAAAAGATTAAGTCATCCCGTTGGTAGATCCCTGGCCACTAAAGAGAGTGCTGAAGGTAGTTAATGAGGGTGGGATGTAGAAGAGGTTGGGGAGGAAGCAGAACCGTCCCAACATCATGCCAACTAATGAATAGATACAGTGGAAAGGTCTTTTGGACAGAGTGCCACTGGCATTTTGAATTTGGTAAGAAGGCTAACGGTTGGGATGATGATGACTCCGCTACTTACCTTGCTGCAAGCTTGCAGGGAAATGCCCTCAGAGTGTTGGGTGGAGAAACTGGAGGTGGAAAAGAGTACAGTTATGCGGAAATGGTACAACTGTTGAAGCAGCGACGTAGCGAAGGCATTTTCTATGGGGGGTGTGCCAGGGTGAATTTGCCGACTGGTCGATGTACATCAATAATTCATGACGTCAATTTCAGTGTCATTTGCCGAGTGACCCTTTATTTGCCGACTGAAAAGAATTATGGGGGTGCAACACCCTCCCCAACCCCCCCCCCGCTTGCTACGCCGCTGTGTTGAAGAGGAGGTTTAATTCCGGCTTACAAGCCGAGAATTACTTAGTTGAATTAAGACACCGTCAGCAGGGCAGTGGCGTAACTACAGGGGGCAAGTGCCCCCCCACAGAGGCCCGTGCCCCCCGGGTGCCCCCATTTGAAATTTTGAAATGGACATTTACGTCCATTTATGTAGGTAGGCGTTTAGACAGGCACCTAGTTCAATTATTTTCAGTGCCCACTGAAAACAATTGTGTACCCCAGGTGCCCCCCTCAGCTGCAGCACCCTAGTTACGCCAC